GTGGGAGGAATAGGTAATTTAGAAGAGTTCATTACACAAATTGGTTTTACCGTGAATCAAACCCAGTCTGGTGATGACCCAGACTCGTCACCGCCAGTGTCGTCAACAATTTCATCTTTATAATGATTCGTGAATTTTTTTTTGTAAGCTGGCTGTAGTCATTGCCAAAGAGTATTAATGGGATATTATTTTGCGTAATTACATAATCAAATTTAAAGTACTCTCGTTTGTACTTATTTCATAATAAAGATATTAGTAGATAACGAGGAACCCATTAACTCAGTAAAAACGAAGCCATTTAATTTTCACGCATCCATTGCGGAGTAAACGACAAATTAGAGCGAACAAGAGATTTCCCTAATGATGCGTCCTATTAACATGAGAGGCCGTAATGATGCTACCATATGCAATTTTTGACCTTAATCGGTATTGAAAGAGAGTGGAAAATATAAATTCTTGTTTATTTGTTTTAGAGATAACAGGTTTTACGTAAGCTAAAAAATAAGAACAACAATAGACTCACTCACTTTTGAAGGTAGATTGGAACGAGATTTATTAGAAGTACATTTGCTTGGGGGTTTAGTTCCTAATATTAAATACAAAATGATATTAGAACGCTATAGGGATATCACACATATTGATGGGGAATGCCACTGAGTTGGCCAGAAAAAGCTTTCTGTCCACGTAATAAGAGTGAAAGAGACAGACGGTTTACGTAAACGGTCCGAGCGGAAGCATAACGCCTTTTTCAGTCTTATCGCACGGATAAAAAGCTTTTTCTAAATAGTTCAAGCCGATTTCGCTCCACTAAGGTCTTTAATTTGATAAAAAATAAATTCCCTTGATAAAAATACCATATAAGGTAGCCACGTCGTGGCGACAGACGCTGGTTCGAGTCCAGTCGAAAAGAATGAATTCTTTTTTGTATTAATTGTTCGATCTTTGTATCTATAATAATAACAAACTAGTCAAGTACTTTCAGAAAAAATAGACGAATATGATGGTAGTAAAAACATGATATTCAATTAAAATAATAATTGCAATTAAGAGTCGATGCTACCTCAGCTCAAATTCTAAATCTTTCCGTACTAATACGGTTCATTGCCCTTGGGTCGAGCAGCAAGGATGCTGGCTTTGTTTCAGAATTTATTTTTTTTACTAATGAAATAAAAGCTATTTGAAAAATATGTACCGTATACTGTACACTTTTATTTAATTCAGCTGATATAAAAATCATTGGTATACGTAAAGTATCTATTGAATAAGGTTTTCTTATAAAATTTCGAGGTAAGTTTGTGTTTTATTGTGAAAATTTTTAGGAATTTTGTTTTCTCACCGTACACCAATCAGTGTAGGTACATCCTCAATTTTAGTATATAATTTTTTCAATGTGATGGATTCGACACTTTCACTGTTATGCGGAATCAAGCAAAGCCATTTGAGGTTGTATCGACTCTTAGTATTGCGACATTTCTGTCAGTTGTCTTGTAGAGGTGAAGCAACTTTCATAACTTTCCACAGGTGGCGCTACGGCTAAACAGCCGTTTAAACCCAACACAAAGACACGCAGTAAGCATATAAAGAAGTTCGTAAGATCTGCTGACTCAATCCGTAGCTCAATTGACAGTGCGGTAACCACGTTAAGGCGACAGGCGCTGGTTCTAGTCCAATCGGAGCGATTGAAATTTTTCTTTGTATTTGTTCGATCTTTATGTCAATAATAATAACAAACTGGTAGTGAAACCATCATGATATGTAATAAAAATAAAATACTACAAGATATTGAAGAAATACCAAGTACATGTGTTTTATTTTGTCATTTTTGTTATGCCACCGAACTACAGATAAATTTAAACTTTATTCAACGTAACGCGAGTTTCTTAGCTCAAGTTAGACATAAAACTTTAACATTTGTTCTTTGGTCGTAGGATGATTTAATAACACAAGGGCTTAATTCAGTCATGTAATCTTAACTTTTTATGTTACACAGGGTGTATGTAAGGCGATTATTCCGTAAATATAAGAGACATCAAAAACCTTTAAACTGATATCGAAGTACGATACCTAATAAGTAAAACGACAACAATAATTGGGTAATTTTCATAAAATCTCGAAATTCTTGTCCTTTAGCTTTATAAAAAAAGTATTTGATTCTTGCCGCAAAAATTGCAAATTATAATTCAAATGCCACTAATGCCTACATAAAATATTGGTTACTTTATTTAAATAAAAATAATAATAATGCGAAAGTGTCGCCAAAATCATTCCCTCACATGTCCCAAGTTCGACAATCAAACACGTTCTGTGCTGTAAATCAACACGTTTAACAAAAATAACATTTAAATTTTAATATTCGATCAAATACAATATGTTTTTGCGAAATTAAAGCTATCCTGTGGTAAAAACACGATAAATTTTAAAAATGTATTCATGTCCCAACCAAAATATCATTCCCTCACGCTTTGACCTTCACTCGATTTGTGAACGCATTTTTAATCTTTGGTAAATGCACTTATAAGTTTTCGAAAGATAGCAAGCACTGTAAACGTTTCAAAATGACGATATTAAACTTATATGTGTAGAAAAATTCTACTATGAAAATATTAATTTAAAATTATAATAGTAACATTTTTGACAGTCATTCCCTCACATCATATAAAAATAAGTTAAGCATTTGATTTTATTTATTAATTATAGACTCATATTAGTTATTCATAGCAGTAAGCTTACACAAAATATTAAGTCCAAAAGTAAGTTTATAACGCTACTTTTTCTTGGTTTATTTTGAGTTCGTCATTCCCTCAACCTCAAATGTTCTAACTACCTCTTTTTCTTGTTTTAAATTGAAAAGTCATTTATTTTGGAGACCACTATATCATCAAAAACTATTTGCATAAGTACTATGAAATTTACAAAAAATTAATACAAATTGCCCCTTATAATTTTCATAAATATCGAAAGCACAAATTTCGGAATTTCATGAGAACTGCCCAACTATTTTATAATAAAACTAGAAATATTCAAAATTTTAATATTCAACGCTCCCATACATATAATACGATATTCATAGAGAGGCTTTAGTTGACTACTTCAAGAGATAAAAATAAGTTAAAAGAAGTAATTATAACAAAACCATACAACTTTGCTCTATACCCTGATTTATGAAATCGTCAAATGACATTGATAAAGTATCTTTTTGTTTTATATTATGATACGGTGAAAGCGATGACGGTACACGTTTATCTAGAAAAAAATGCCTTTGCACTCATGGACTTGAATAGATCTAAATTGTAGTTACCGGGAATCACAGATTAGCAGCAGTAGCTGGTAATGTGTTCTATTCCTTTGCAGTACGTATTAAAACGGAGGGAGCAAAGCACTTCGTGCGAAAGGGTGGTATATCAACGACATAGGGCTGGAGTGTTCCGGACTATCTAGTCGACGAGTAATGTTTAGGGTGGAACTAAATTGTGGAGTTCCTGTGCACACTCTCCGAAATGTATCCGATAGAAAACCGACAAGCTGGTCACTTATAGATAGCCTGTGAGATAGATAGTAAAATAATACACTCGTACTGATTGATACAACACGTAATTTGTGAGGTACATTTTTACTAGCAGTAAAGCTCCTAACGTATTTCTGCCACCAATTACTGCGTGAGCATTACCTACTGCGATTCGGTTTTGAAGGGTAAGGTTGGTGGTGAAATTACAGGGAAATGGGACTTGTCAAGTTATGTCTAGGTCACGGGCGCAGTGACAGTGCCTCCAGATCTCTGATATTGAAAGCTCTGAGTGGCACTGCATCTAATATGGACATGCGTGTCGCTTACCAATAGGCACACGACTTGTTCGTTCCGTCACTTAGTATTATAAAAAAAATGTGATGTAGTGACTTCTGGGTTCAAATGTGAGGCCAGCATTACGAGTCTTGTTCTCTTCGAACAATGTTTAGTTTGGATGACTAATAGAATAAGTAGTGTAACTTCATAATATAAACGTAGCAGCGAGGGTTGCATGTGTGCACGCTCGCCGCGCGCTGTGTAACGGACGCACTCATTCGCATAATCTAGCACGATATTTACATTGCACAGCGCGAGTCGCACGCGTCATTCCTTCATTCCAGAATTTAAGCGTTTGCTCAGTATGACGTGAAATAGTAGTTTCAACAAGAGTGCCTTAAATGAAGAATGTCAGTATGTCCTTCTCGATACCTATATAAACATGAGAATCTATTTGCATTGACCTACACCTAAATAGCAATAATAAAGCATTTAAAACAAGTAACGAACAAATAATGATATTAACTAATACATTTTCTTCGAGTCAAATTTATAATTTTTGTTTTATAATGAATCGTTGTATTAAAAACAATCACGCATTTTATTTCTAATAAATTTGTACTCTCATAATCGAGATACCTATCCTCGATGCTGGCATAAAATACCAATATAACGGCGGTTCCACCAACACGCTTGTCCCTTACAGTTGCAGTGCCACTCAGAGCTTTAAATCACAAAGATCTGAGGGACATTGCCCGACACTGAGACATAAGTTAACAAGTCCCATGTGCCTGTAATTTTACGAGCACGTTTATCCTTCGAAACCGGAACGCAGTAATGATCACATATTTGCTTGGCAGCAGAAACAGGTAAGGTGGCAATTCTTCCCTTTTTTCCCAAGGGAATATCCGTCATGGATATCACCGCATCACGGGGAGGCGCGGTGGTAATATGAGACTCTTACTCACTAAAAACCCCCGGGTATTCCCACACCCCGCGTGTGACGGTGCTGTGGCCACGCGGTTTACGATCCACGGCCCCATCTGCGGACTCATCCCTAGTTGATCACCATTCCGCCTCCATCGTTAGTGGCATGCCGGGAATACTTGGCACACCAACCAACCCGTGAATGTAATGGGTGACAAAAGCCCCCGTTTGTAACTCCCAGGGTTCACTCTCACGGCGGCAGTTGGCGGGCATAAGCCAGCCGCCTGCGCCCCTAGCGTTTGCGGTGCATAGGATGAGAGGAAGGATCTTCCTCTCGCTCCCGTTCCGCTGCCTCCTTCCGCCACATTACATCAGTGCAGAAAGAGGCCACCGCACTCCACGCCGTCTCGCTACCGACCATAGCTCGAACTACGGTTGGCAGGAAAAGGTCGTTTTCTACCATTGCGGTCAGAGACGACCGCTGCTCCTTCCACGCCGGACATGCCTGCAGTGTATGTTGCGCCGTATCTTCGGCGCAACCACACTGATGGCATACGGCAGTCGTTTCTCGTCCCACCCTGCACAGGTATTTGCCAAAGCAACCATGCCCTGACAAGACCTGCGCAAGGTGGAAGGAGACTCCTCCACAGGATCGATCCGCCCATTCTATCAGAATGGGTCGAATCGCTCTGATGGTCCAGTGGCCAGACCTCGGCTCCTCTAGCCTCTCTTGCCACTTCCACCCATAATTGTCCGCCATCGATTAATGTGCTCCAGAAGTGGCTCTTCCCTTTTGGCCCTCAGTTCCAATGTCCGCCAATAGATGGCTGACAAGGCCTCCGCGTCCAGATTCCACGGTGGGGTTCCTGCCAAGACGCAGTCCGCCTCGTAAGAGGTGGTGCGGTATGTTCTCGATACCCTGACCGCTAGAACCTATTGCGGTCTCCGCAACATGGTTTTGCCCTGAGCGTTGATGCTGTTCGCTCATATGGGCACCTCGTACAAGGCCATCAAGCGCATCACCCCTATGTATATAGGGGTGATGCGCTCGATGGCCTTGTACGGGCGATGCGCTATATACAGGCTGACTGATATATACAGGCGTCGGCAGTTGGCGCTCGGCTCCCCCACATTCGGTAAAAGCTGACTCAGGGCGGAAGCTGTACCCACCAATTTTGGAGCTAAGAGTCGGAAATGCTCTTCAAACCTCCATCGACTGTCAAGGACCAAGCCCAGGTACTTCATGGTAATCTTAACAGTAATGGAGATTCCTCCAACCACCAATGTCATGCCCTCGCGCGGTGCGTTCCGTGTCCCATGAAAACACACAGCCTCGGACTTCTCTAGCGCCCCAGCCGCCGAATCCTAGCCAGGGTACGGGCAACTCCAGCCGTAGCTAGCACTACGGCCTCCCAATGCGTGCGATCTCGGGCTGTAACCAGGGTGTCGTCGCACAGGGTGTCGTAACACGCCACGTCAACTCCAACAAGGCACTCCCTTCGCAGCACCCAGTCGTACCCGATGTTCCACAGGAGCGGTCCAAGTGGCATCCCTGATCCCTGTGGCGCACCGCACGACACGGTCTTTCGACCAATTCCATCGCGTTTCGGGTAAACTACGGCTCTATCAGCTATCAGAGAGATAGGATTCTATCGTCTTACGTAGATACTCGGGCACGCGACGTAACTTGAGCGCCTCCTGTATGGTGGGCCAGGGCAGCACGTTAAAAGCATTGGCGATGTCAAGAGACACCGCCAACAACACTTCGCGTCTGCCCACTGCGTCGTCCGCCAGGTCCCTCACTCGCACAAGGGCGTCAATGGCAGTCCTTCGCGAGACGAACTCTTTCACAAGGAGCTCTACTGCTACTAAACTCTATTATCTATTATAAACCTCTTAAATTCTTTTCAGGCAAAGAAAGATAAAGTATATATTTTAGTGTAACCAAATGTTTTTTCAGGGAAAACATAAATAAAATTACGCACGAATAAAATAATACATTTCAATCTCGTAATCTCTTCGGGCTTAAAAAATAAAAAAAACGTAATCATAATATTCATACGAGTACTTGTCGTTTCTGTAAAAGTACTTTGGACGTTCATTCTTATATAGGGTTTTTCAACAAGAACATGGTTTTGTAAATCAAAATAAAACAATAAATTTACATGACAACGATTCAATCTTTTATTGTATTAAAAAAAGTAAGGTTTGGCAATTATGAATGAAAAATGATATCTGATAAATATCCACCACGACCACAGTTACAGATGTCGATTCTTTCCTCAAAATTTTAAATCACTTTTTTACAAAATGGTGAGTCTATTTCGTTAATCACTTCACGAATTTTAAGAGTTAAGGCTGCAATCGATTCGATCGGCTCCGTATAGACTCTGTCTTTAACATAACCTCATAAAAAAAATCCTGTGTGGAATCACATGATCGAGCTGGCCACTTAACGGTTGAATTTCGTGAAATTATGCGATCGGGAAATTTGGTTTGCAATAAATTCATTGTTTCGGTGGCTGTGTGACGGTAGACATACAGGTTAATTTATTTCCTTCGATTCGTCATACATTTTTTCGAAATTATGGATATCTATCTAATATAATCAGGTGCAGATTTATTGAAGTTTTTACCCTTTTTATTTTTCCTGTAAAGGTGGTGTTTTGATAATACACGCTAATTCTTTTATTTCATTATATCATGAGAATACTTAATAAAGCACTTGTGTTATGGGAATCGAAAAAAAATTTTCTACGTTGACCCGGCCGGGATTCGAACCCGGGGTCTCGGAGTTGGCGACACTTTAAAACCGGCATGTAGGCCACTCGACATGGAGGCCGTCGAGTGCCGAGTTACTCCGCTAGTATACATACATGTATGCTAGCGGAATAATTTCATAAAAAATAATTGAATATCAATTCAATACAAATTTAGAATAACCTATTACTTTTATACCCAATTGTTGTATTTGTTCTCCCGTGAATCGAATTCAGAAGCTTCTGAATATCCAGTCCTTAACCACTAAGTCACTGAAGTCGTCACATATTATGGTACAATACATTGTATTGTGGAGTGATAAATGGGTTTTCCTCAAAAAACTTCCCCTTGCGCAATCAACTCGTTGAATAAAACGGTCTTTAATTCATAACCTACTTTGTTCAAGAGTTTGAAAAAAATAAACGATGCTAGTCCGAAGAGACCCATATGTCAGTGGAAGTTGCGACGGGCAGGTAAAGTTGGCGACGGCTCTCCCGGCGACGTAGATAATGGTACTTGGCCACTTTTTTGGTTGTTCGCCATCGCCGTTTTACGTCAAAGTTTGGCATTAAAAACAACAAGTGTTTCTTCAGTAGTAAAGTTTATTGTATTCTTTATAATTTTCATATTTATATTCTGCATTATTTGTAGTAAAAACCACTTTAATAGCGCCTTAGATGTGTCATAGAGAGCGATAATGATATAAAACTAGTAGATATGTAGCAACATAGACCAAAGGTAGCAATATCTATCTGTCTTGCTTTGTATTTGATTACACTTTTACTGCGATCTATCAACCTATGTACATGTAGTTAGAAGAAATCTTTAAACGAATTGCTCGCCTTTTCTCACTAATTTTGTAGTTATATTACAATAAGGTACGACAAGGTGTTTACATATATTTACATATTATACCTATATCGTATCAGTGCTGCGGTTTATTTACCCAAACGCTCGCCTAAGAGGAGACCCGTGCCCAGCAGTGGGGCGTATAAATGGATTGACGATAAAACGAGCATTGCCATAAAAATGGAATTTGAGCGGCAATCGAACTTATGATTAAAACCCTTTAAAACCATGAAAAAAGCTGTTGCTCCGTTCTGATCTTATCTATTTTATACCGATTTCTGTATGGAACAGATGTTCTTTTTTTCACTGATATTGTTAAACCATATCGACGCTTGAAAGACAAAATGGGGTAAGCGACACTTTTGGGTCATATTGAGTTATATGTACCGTTGTAATCAGAAACATTAGCTGATTCCAACGGTATATAACTCAATATGACCAAAAGTGTCGCTTATCCCATTTTGTCTTTCAAGCGTCGTTATGATATCAGTTTGGTATTCTAACATTACGTCTGAATCCTGACCAATAAACAGAAATATTCTCTTCATATTGATTGAAGAAACGTCAACTTTTCTTATATACCTATATAATACATACTCGAATGGCATGGTTTTATGTGCGCAGTTCCTTTCCTGAGAGAAACTTTATTATGTAGTTCTGTTTCAAACTCTGTTTCTGTCCCGAGATTTATTCCATGGGGATTACATTTTTGAAATATGCAAAGAAAATGCCCATGCCCATTTTACTTTATATAATCACGGTGAAAAAGTATGAACTTGATAATACATATGTTGTAACGTAAATACAGTCGGTAGGTTTGCAGGGTAAAAATGAAAAACAGCATGGTTGTTTTGTCCGTGTTTACATCACTATTTCTATCATAGAAATAGGTATGTCTAAATAGACGCCACAAGTCTACCTATTTTGCGTGCTCAATGTAAGCTATAAACGTTTAGTTGCCGCCGTTACCCTTCAGAACGCGCCCGGCCGTTATTAAACTTACCGTAGTTAAACATCAATTGAAAACGCGAAAAATGCCTAATTGTGCCATTAATATGAATAAACAGGGACGTTTCATTTCCTTTCCACGGTTAAGTAATTTTGTAATCAGAATATACATAATTTATTTTAAAATCACTTGTAATTTTGTATGAATTTCGAGAAAATAAATATGCAAACATGTGTATGCACCGTGATTCGTAATACATTGGGCTTTTACTTGGTGCGGTACACTCGTGGTCCTTCTTTAGTAGACCATGAATATCGAACGGGCGAACTTTTGCATAGTGCAGTCAGTTTCAAAGTGCTTGTTTAAGGTCAAATTTTACGATTAGTTACGTTCACTTGTTGCAACACAGTTCTCGATTCTGATCGATTTAGAAAACAAAGGGATGATAATTCTTAACACATTAGAAAATGTTATGAAAGTATCCTATAAAGCTTGTTGTTGTTTTTTTTTTTAGTATTCCGGAGCAACTTTCTTTTTCAAAACACGCATTAATAAAGGACTTATTTATCTTATTAAGATTAATAGAATTTTACTATATTAATATTTCATAATCTACAGATACTTGAAAACTCATTATTCTATATAAGTGCTGCGTCCAAGTCTTCGATTTAATCAGTCGCTTTACTGAATGTTTGTTGAATACGGCGAGTTACTGTAAGTTTTTAAAAGATTTAGTTTTTAATCTTATAATTTATACTTTCTTTATTATTATTATAATAATCTATATAATAATTTTCTTTTTTAATTTTTCAATTTTACTAATTAAGTTACACATTGACGGATCTTGTTCCGTTACACTGGAGGCGATATTCGACCAAAAGTGTATAGTTTCATATGTGTTGACTGTAAATCGTAAAGTTACTTTTAAATAGTGCCAAAGAATTTGACGCAATACTTAATTAAAATGTACGAATATAACATTAGTTCTATAATGCCGTTCTCAAATAGCAAAGTGATGATATATTATATTTGTACGTGTGTTTCATCGCCGATGCCGTTATAAGTTGTTTTCGACACACCCTCAAAACAGTCAGCAATAAAGCGACGGTTGATCAGTAAATATGCGTTTTATTAGTTATTGTACTTAGAATAATAACGCATAGAATGATAGTTTCATATCAAACGAACTGTCACAAGTGAGG